GGTGTGGAGGGGATGGCTATAAGGGGAGAAGGGAGGCCATCCATAAAAAAGCATCGTTATTATCTTACCTGTTTTAGATAACTCTTTGAACGACAGCAGTTTGAAGAAATCCTGACAAGATTCTAATCAGTTCCAAACAACCACATATCAATCTTATAAATAAATGTATAAACCTCCTCTAAGCTTGTTTGGTATAATTTGTCGCATTAATTTAATTATCTGAACCATAACTTGAGTGTAAAAACAGAAAGATGCAACTAGTTTATTGAAGAATCTGTCTCTAGTCATTAAATCAGGTGTTTGTAAAAGTATCTTTAATAACCTGTTAAAATACACTAGAAATCAAGAAATAGCCTCTACTTTATTAAAGCTTTTCCTCCGGAGTGTCCTTTACACACATGTGAGAGGCTAAATCAACACACCTGTGGTTCTCTACCTGTCCCAAAAATCTTTGAAATTGTCAGCTGACTTCAGGTGTTCCTGATGTGTGTCTACTGAATTAGATTCTTTTAAAGTTTTAGTAAAATATTCACTATTCTCCAACTCTGACAGCTGTTATTTAGTCATGGATCTTTGTTACCGTTCTGACGTTTGGTGTCAAAACCTGAGAAAACAGCTCATTCTTTTTGTTGGTAGCTTTATTGTTGTAATTACAAAAAGAAAATCCAACATTTTTAAAGATTTTAAATTTATTTTAGACTATAAAAACAACTCACATTTCAAATCTAGTTTTATTTGTTCAAAGAAAAGTCAAATAGTTGGTTGTTTTTTAATACTGGTTCCTGGTCCGAAACATGGAGGAACTGAGAACTCTGGAAATCTGTTCACCCTCATCTAATCTGTGACTCACTGGGTCTGACTCAGCCTCATCCTGAGGAGACCTGGTGTGTATTTATACTCTTTGTATTTATATTTATACTTTACTGTAGGCTGCTATCACCCACACTGCAATCCTCACCACAGCCCTGAGGGGACCTGCCTTCATATTACACACGTACAGGAAGTGCTGAGTGTTAATACAGGAAGTGCTGTGTGTCCTTACAGGAAGTGCTGTGTGTCCTTACAGGAAGTGCTGTGTCATTACAGGAAGTGCTGAGTGTCCTTACAGGAAG